CAAAGTTTGGGACAATTTACAGACTTCCAGCGAATTTTATAAGATGCTTAATCAGCTGGATATTTAACTTCTAACTTCTATTCTAAGAGGGTTTTCTTTCCTTTCTCTCCCTTTTTCTTTCTTTTTTTCAATGTTGTTTTGTTTCTGTTTTGTTTTATTTTAGTATTTTCCTTCTATGTTGCTAAACACATTTAATAAATAAAATTCTAAAAAAATAAATAAAAAATATTGACTGAGAAGCAAAAGGCTGATTTCCATAGAAAGATAAAGTTTATTTATAGTCTCTGGATTCAGCGTCTCTGAGCTGGAATCCTCCTCAGACTGATTCATCTGCTCTCACTCTTCAGTTAAAACTGCTCAGCAGGTCTATAGAACTATTTTCACTAGATTGCAAGATGCCCTTAATCCCAGGTATGGTTGGTCTTAGTGACTGAACCACCAGGGGGCGACTGATGAACGACTTTGTTTAAATTAGAATCTGGACCTGAGCAGGACGCAGACCGACGTGTTATAGACTGACTTTGGCCACAAAACAGACGTCAACATGGGAAAAAAGGAGACTGGGCTTAAAGTTAAACTGAAATACCAAATCTAGGCTGCAGGAACCGTCGGGAAGGCTGCCGGACTTTAACTAGACCACTGTGCTTAAACCATCACTGATGCTGAGAACCAGTCAGTCTTCTATTGCTGCTTTTATCGAAGTTTTCTATTCGGTGAAAATTTGCAACAAATACGTTTGAAATTCAGCTTTTTATAAATAAACAACTAAAGTCGTGTTTTTTCCTTTGCTGTATGACTCAGTTAATAAAAGTAGAATACTGTTAATCTATATAAAGACTACTTTTACCACTAGAGACTACTGGTAACCATTATAGACTACTGGTAACCATTATAGACTACTATTAATCTTTAAAGAGTACTGTTAATGTATATAAAGATTGTTATTAACTAGTGAGGTTTCCACTTCATAAAGTTGTAGCCCTAGACCACCACAGACTAGCCATCTGCTAACGATACTGAAATGCCATATTTCATGGAAAATTAACCCATTAAGCTTTCCTGAGGCAAAGAACATCTGGGCAGCAGATGCACGGCGTTACGATGCTGGAAATGGATCTGGAAAATGGACGACTGGTTATCCAGGACCAGAACTTAGCGAAACAGTTTCTGCAACTTCTGACGAGATAAATAGCAAAGCACCACGAGAGAAGCTGATTGGACCTCACGAAAGAAGCTGATTGGACGCTACGAAAGAAGCTGATTGGACGCTAC